TATAGGGTTGTGATAACAAAACAGCATTGTACTGGCATCAAAATAAGCATGAAGACCATTGGAATGGAATAGAAGAAGCAGATACAAACCCACATAGATACAAGTTATCTGAAACTAGACAAAGTTGCCAAACATGTTGGAGAAAAAATTGCCTTTTAACAAATGGTGCTGGGAAAACTCAAAATCCATAGGTAATAAAGTGAAATTTAACCTCATGACTCACCCTGCAGAAAACTCAACTCACAGTAGACCAAAGACCTAGGAATTAGATCAGAAACCCTGCAACTGCTAGAAGAAATTGTAGGCCCAACACTCCAACATATTAGCTCAGGAACTGCCTTTCTTACAAGACTCTAAAGTGCAAGACATAAAATTAGAAATAAATAAATGAATGGGACCAAATTAAAAATCTTCTTCACAGCAAAGGAAACAATTAGGAGCATGAAGAAGGAGCCTAAAGAATGGAAGAAAAACCTTTGCACCTGTCTCTCAGATTGGATGTTAATATCTAGGATATATAAAGGACTCAAAAAACTTAACATCAAAAAAATGATCCAACTAATAAATGAGCAAAGGAAATAAACAATTCTCAAAAGAAGAAATGCAAAGGATCAACAAATATATGAAAAGTGTTCAACATCTCTAGCAGTTTAAGAAATGCAAATTATAACTACATTGAGATTTCATCTCACTCCAGTCAAAATGACAATTATCAAGAATATCAGTAAAAATAGATATTGGTGAGAATGTGGGGGGAAGGGTACACTGATACATTGTTTGTGGGACTGCAAATTGGTGCAACTACTCTGGAAAACAGTAGGAAGTGTCCTCAAAGAAACTAGGACTAAAACCACCATACGACCTGGTATATATCCAAACAATTTGAAATCAGCATAATACAGTGATACATCAATGTTTATAATAGCTCAATTCACAATGGCTGTTCTGTGGAGTCAATTTAGGTGTCCTTCAACAGATGAATGGACAAAGAAATTGTGGTATATATACACAATGGATTATTACTCAGCTATCAGGAAGAATGACTTTAGGACATTTGCCAGTAAATGGATGGATTGGAGACTATCATGCTAAATGAAATGAGCCAATGCCCCCCAAAACAATGGTCAAATGTTTTCTCTGATATGTGGAGGCTAACTCACAATAAAGTGGGGGGAGATAAGAGAAGTTTTGTGGATAAGACAAAGGGGAATGAAGGGAAGGGAGAAGGAATGGGATAGGGAACAACAATAGAATGAATTGGGCCTAGTTCCTGTATATATGTATATGCATATAGCACAGTGAATCTCATCATTGTGTACAACCACAAGACATTAATTTTTTAATATTTATTTTTAAATTTTAGGTGGACACATATCTTTATTATATTTTTATGTGGTGCTGAGAATCCAACCCAGTGCCTCACGCATTGTAGGTGAGCGTGCTAGCACTTGAGCCACAACCCCAGCCCAACATTAATTTTTTAAAAAGTATAATTAAATAGAAAGATCAGTAGAGTAGATGGAAGGGAATAGAAAGTGAGAGGAAAGGAGGGAAAGAGAGACACTGGAGACTGAATTAGAACAAATTATAATCCATGCTTTTATAATTATATCAAAATAAATTTTATTATCATGTAAAACCAAAAAGAACCAATAAAAAATTAGAAACAAACACTAAACATGGTCTCAGCATACATTTTAGAAATCCTACTCCGTGTTATTTACAGAAGGGAATTGATAATATTACTGCTTAAAAACTGCATAAGACATTTATAGTAGATCTATTAATAATTGATAAAAAAGTGAAAGTTACAAAGATGTTCTTCAGTAAGAGAAGGAATAGACAATCTGTGGTATATTGAGATAATGCATTTTATTCAGCATTAAAAGAAATAGGTTATCAAGCCATGAAAAGACATGGAGAAAGCTTTAATGCATATTATAAAGTGAAAGAAGTGAAAATTCAGTTGTTGTCAAGAAGTGGTGGGGGAGGACTGAAAAGGGAAAGCACAGGATTTTTAGGTCAGTGCAACTACTTTGTATGATACTATAATGTTATATGCACATTAGGATGCATTAGTAAAAACATAGAGACTGTAAAATACCAAGAGTAAATACTAATCTAAACTGCAGAGTTTGAAAGATTAAAAAATGTCAGTGTAAGCTCATCAATTGTATCAGATGAACCACTCTGGTAGAGGGTGTGGATAACAGGGGAGGCAGGGAATGTATCAGAAAACTCTGTACCTTCCATCACTTTTGTTGTGAACTCAAAGTTTCTTTAAAAATAAAGTCCTTTATAAATAAAATAAAAGAAAATGATGACAGATATATTTTGAAGTAGAAATGCAGGATGGATCAGGTGGGAAGAAAAGGAGATGTATTTCTCTCTATATATATATAGTAGCGGACAGGTAGAATGGCAGTCTAAGATTTAATGCACAACATGAGTACTATAACTAGTGCAATACTGCCTTAGGGTTAAAAGAAGATAGAAATTTCATAATCTGAAAAATAATAAGAAGGTATGCAGTAGGTGAAGGATGCAAATACAACTACATCTCCTAAGGACTAGAGGGGTGCTTCATAATATAATCACCTCCAAAGAGGGCCAGAAAGATAATGGATTAGTTAACTTCTCTTGGCTATATACAGTGTGAAGTGCTTGTCAAAACTCCACATGGTCAAGTTCAACAGACGTCTGTGATGTCAGCTCAATGCTCAGGAAATTTCTCACTTTGAGAGACATGGGTTTATATGAAGGTACTACATGAAAATTTTGGAGTAGAGGAAAGAGAGAGCTAGAAGCAGATTTTAAAGGAATATTAACATTCAAAGCATGAGAATTGAACAACAACAATAACATGGCTCAGCCTGCAGAGATGTAGCTTGAGAACTAAGGGAGTTTTCCATAAATTTGGGAATCCACATAAGTTTCAAATAGATTAATGAATGAGAAATGCTTTTGAGTTTGATACATATAGAATAGACAGAATGATATATGATTTTATATGATGTTAGTGGTGTGATATGAGGGAAATCCAGATTAGATAGATAGACACAGACAGAAGAGACAGACAACAAAGAGACAACTATAGATATGTTGGCACTTGGATTGATTGACAAATTTAGATAATTTTGTCATTGAGGTGAAGAATCAGTGATAGTTGCATTCCAGAGCTTCCTCTGCGAGAAATGTTTTTACAAAGGCTGATAATCCAGTTACAGTTTCAGATATGGGTGTAAAGGTGCTGCTTTAAGATAATGTTTATCTTAGTTTCAATTCATCACATATAAAAATCAGAATCACTTTGGTCCTTTTCACAATAATCGAGCATAAGAGATATACAAAAACTCAGTGGTATAATTTATAGCTTATAGTTTTCAACAAGGGCCTGGTAACATATTTGTGACTAACCTATCGACTTCCTATGGGCAATGACAATTTTTTCATAGTAAGAAAATAGTGGACTACAGGAATTTAGTGTGCACTCACATCAGGCCAAAATAATCTCATGCATATGTTGAGAATGACATTACAATAATTAAAACATGTTATCCAACCCTCTTTTTTCTGTAGAGTGCTCATTATCACCCTCGTTTCTAATATTTTCACTCTTTTTGATTTTAAGATTACTAACCAAAAAGAAAACTAATTGATCTTCTTTGGGGTCAGTGGGGTTAATGAGCAGAAGGGAGTGTAGCATAGCAACCAATGTCATGACCCTAAAAGGGCTTTTGCCAATCACAGTTCTAAACCATTGTGCTTTGTTTTAATTTTTTCTCTCAATGGGAAATCCATTTCATTTTATTTCTGGGCTCCTACAGGATGATTGATAGCCAAACATTCATTTACCTCATACCAGGAATAACATTAAAAATACTAATTATAAAGTTTAATTTCTTGGCTTTTAAATATTTTTTTTTTGAAAATGCAGGCAGAGATACACAAACAACAATTTATATCTGCATAATTCAGGAAAATGTATAAAATGTAAATCTTTAAATGCAAAGCAAGATCTGTTTTATAAAGTGATCCATAAGGGAAATTAAGTTTTGTAGCCTTCAAATGTCAGAAAAAAAGCTTTTGATCCCTTAAGGCAAACATTTTTGAGATTCAGTTCCACCACATAATTATGATCGTTTTCTTAGTTACATTTTCTAGTTCCCTGCTGGCTGTTTTTCTATATAAACTTAGTTTTATTTCCAATTATATCATTATAGAGAAGAGTATCAGGTTTAATTAAATAAGAACATGAAAATAATTATCATTCCTTTATCTGTATAAACTAATTTGGCTACCTAAGGTAGACTATCCCATAAAGAAAAATGTAATTCTCTTAGTCCATCAATTAACTATAAATAAAGCCCAGTGCATTTATAAATTCTCACTCATTCATATTTTCTTTCACTTATTTCTTGATGTATGTTGGCCTTCCTTTCTTTCATTTTCAAATAAAGATTTATTAATCATTTATTATATAAATCATTTGATATGTGAGAGGATGTATGGATATAGTTTCTATTGACATAAAAATGAATTAATTACAATCCTGACCTTAAAATAAATGTGTAAAACAGTTAAATTATTTCAAATCAAATACAAACAAGTCAAATAGCTGTTTATACCAAATAATGACTTCATTCTACTTTAGAGTCCATGTAGACATATATATTTATATTTACTTGAAAAGTGAGCATCAATTTAAAGTCATTTAAGCTAAATTAAGCCATATAAGTCTGAAAATCATTTTTATTTCTTTCTAAATTTTTTTATAGTTTTAGATGGACAGAATGCCCTTATTTTATTTTATTATTATTATTTTTTAATGTGGTGCTGAGGATTGAACCCAGCACCTCAATGCATACTAGGCAAGTGCTCTGCCACTGAGCTACAACCCCAGCCCTCATTTTTATTTCTTAAGTGATTTCTTAATACGTTGTGCAATGCCCATGGAAATAACTGCTTTGTGCATATCCTTACATCATATGGGTACTTACCTGTATGACACTGTCCCCTGCACTCATGTCTGTGTATACATAGACATCATAGGATATTTCTGGGAAGGTTGGAGTATTGTCATTTGCATCCATCACTCGAATATTGACAATAACTGGCTCGCTTTCTTGTACTCCATCAAATGCTGTTATCTTTAGAGGAAGAAAAATACACTTAATAGAGAACTCATGCAAGTATAAATAGTACAGAATCCACTCTTACAACTTAATGAGTTTTTAATAAGTGATTTACAATTTTAAAAGGGTAATAAGATGTTTTGTTGATGAAAGGAAGTAATAAAAATATATACGCATATATTCAAGTTTTTTAATGTACTAAAAAGAAATTAGTAAGGATCCTGTTCTACTTTCAACACATTCCAATGCAAGCACATTTTAAATAAGGGGATATGCAAAATATCTTGGAGGCTTAAAGTGAACCAATAACATTACTGATTCCTTAGAGCTAAATACAAAGTAATCCTTAAAAATTAATTGGAACATATTCTTCATGTTTAGGTATTTTAAATATAATATTGTGTAATATTACAACATAATATCTACTTTTTACTGGAGCATTTTAATTATACAGAACAATGGGTTTCTCTGCAGCATATCTGTACATGAAAATAACATAGTTGACTCATATCCCTGCCCCCATTCTTCCTCCTTGCCCTCCCTCTTACTCCTCCACCCCTTCCTCTTATTTAATAGTTTCTACTATTTTCATATTTTCTTTTTTCCCCTTAGATATAATAGTTACTTTCATAGTTAACATTAACATATTTTTATCAGACAAGAAGTTAGGTACACTAGATATGTTAAATTATATTGTACAAATTCACAAAACCATAATTTTAAAGGACTCACTAACATTTGTTACTAGTGATTACAGTATTAAAAATTTGAAAACTCAATAATTATTAATGTGTCATTGGATTAATTTAGTTTCTCTGTTAATGTCTCTTTCAAGGACCTATTGGATATTTATTTCTTTCATTTGTACAGTGGTGGGGTAGTGGTTGCAGAACACTTTGGTAACAGAAAACAAGTTTGGAAAGATTGTAAGCATGATGGAAAAAGGAATGCAAAATATAATATACTAAAAATTTTAAAAATTGATCCATTTTTAATAACTATAGTATATATATTCTATAAATGTGTAATAAAGGGGTTCTCCTTGATTTTTCTCCACTTAAAAAAAATAATTGAGAATGTGTGACAATCAATTCTACAAGTATCAGACATCCATTCTTGTGAGAATGGCTTCTGGAATCAACTATGTGTCTAATAAGGTTTAGACACATAACTAATTGTCAAATAAGATTTTCTAGAAATTCCAGTCTTTTGTTATGTAGGCCTGTCCAGAAAGAAATCCCAAGTTCAATAACTTGCATCTATTATCTGTTCATCTTTTCTTACACTTTATTGAAGGATCTGACATAGTTTTTAGATCTGTACTTATCTCTTAAACCTTATTATACTAGTCCGTGTGTGTGTGTGTGTGTGTGTGTGTGTGTATGTATGTGTTTCTACTTCATGATAAATATGTGCAATCACAACTTTAATAATATTCACTCCCCAACCTTGATTAATCAACCCCAACCCACGATTTCTCCATGCTATTGACATTTGGGCCGGATAGTTTTTAGTAAGGGGTGTTTGGTGTGTCATAAGATTTTCAGAGCCATATTTTGTATCCACCCATTAGAGGTCAGTAGCACTCCCTTCCGTTGTGACATCCAGAAATGCCTCCATATGTAACAAAACATTCTCTGAATGTAAAAAAAAAAAATATCCTCAGTTGAGAATTACTAGCTTAACCCTATGACAAAATTGAAAATACAACAAAAAGTTTAAGACAGGATTATTTGGTGAATTCTAGTTTATATTATTAATTTTTAGTGTATGGTGAAGACTGAAGAAGTGTTTTCCTTTTGTGGGGAAAATATTAATGTAGCTACACAAATTTATGCACTGAAAAAGGTGAGATACATATGAAGAATTTTTTGCAATTGATATTTTCTTCAACATTACCTGAAATATTTAAGTTTTCTCTTCAAATCATAGACCTTGTCAATTTTAACCAGACATCTCTTTCCATTTCAAAAAGACAGAAGACATTTACATGCATATATATGAAATTTTTTACCGAAAATGTGTAAGTTTGCTGTTCTTCCCTGTCCACTGGTTGCAGCAGGGTGAGGTAGCGAGTGACACCAGTCTGCGTGACAGTGAAGACTGACGTGTAATCATTCAGAAAAAGGTGAAGCTCTGGGTCTTTTGTCTTAAAAAAAAAAAAGTTCATTATTGAAAAGTTGATTACATAATGTGGCTATTAGTTTAATTACCTAAAATTAATTTTTAATGTTTGTTACAAAAAATATGTACAACTATATTAAGATTTACTAAGAAAAAAAAGAGATGTTAATAGATATTTACTCATGAATAATCTAAGGTGGTCAAAAAATGGTGACCCGTAGTATGAAATGCAGAATATTTTAAAATATGTACTAGAAGACTGGAAATGTAGCGGAGAGGTACAGAGGTTGCCTAGCAGGAACAAAAGTTCAAGCCCTCATATTGAAAAACTATTTTAAAAGAAAAATATTGCTGTAATTAATATCAAAAAACAAGGAAAAGAATAAAAAGAATAAAAAGCAATCCAATTGAACATATTCTTACTTACTACTTAATATCAATATATTCCATAACTTTATTGGATTCAAGAAATAAGAAATAAATGTAAGAAAAGGAAATTGGGTCCCAGAAGTTTAGTTATAAGATTTTACAGTTCCTTCATTTGTAGTAATAAACTGCTCATATCTTGTTCAAGGTTTAATGTAAAATAGGAATAAAATCAGTTATGTATTATTCATTATCCATAAATATCATGCTTTCTCCTCATTTTACTATTGCAAAGTTTTTTCAAAGGGAAACATAACACTTATTTTAATTAAAATATTTCAGATTTTTTTTTAAAAAAAATAAGAATTTAACACAGGTATCTATTAAGAGAGCCTGGAAAAAATGATAATGCATATTGAGGTTCAAGCATATTCAAAGGTTCAAGAATAAGAGATAATTAACTTGGCACAGAAAATTCTTCACAATTTTATTGCCAACCCTGAATGATAATTATTCTCTGCAATTCAGAGAAAAAACAGATATAAAGCAAGGACACTTGGATTGGTATATGTGTAGTGGGAAGGGAAAGCAGGTGGGGCAAACAAAAGGTGAATATTGAGAGAGTGGAATATGAGGAAGACTATGAAAAATAAAAATGTATAATACCGGGAGCTAAGGTATCTGTATGGATATGATACCTTTTAAAATACTATGAATAGTATGATGTGAAACACAGTTTCATAAGAAAGAACTTTTTTCCTAAGTCTAGTATCAAGGACATAGGACAGAGCAGAGAGTAACAGATTGTTAAAAAAATATTCATTTGGAAATAAAACCAGGATTCACATTTTTAAATTTTCTATGTGAATAAAGAAAGTTGTAAAGCCCATTAATACAATTAAAAGTGGGTACACTTTAAACCACACTATACTTTAACTTATAAAAATTTTCAAAACTGAAATCTGTATTTCTTTAAACAATTTAAAATGAATAATTTCATTTGAACCTGAAGTTATGCATTCATAATATCTCATTTTGTGGTAATTTCTGTGTCCATGATTTTGATTTAAGGTCAGTGTGCTACATTTATCTCCAAATAATGCAAAAATTAATGCTAAAGGTAATAGCTTCAATTAGTCTGCATATTACAAAGTAGTCACATACATTAAAATACAATGGGCAAGAGATCTTACAATCTGATATTTTCAAACAGGTATTTCAGACATTTGCATTTTAATGTCATGAGATCAATTTAAGATATGGATAGAAAGTGGGTTATTTTGAATAATCAAATATGATACTCAATTTTTAAAATATAATTATTTATTTATAAAAGTAACGTTTTGAACCACATTCTAGAAGATTCTCATTATTTTGTTACACTTTACAGTCACGATGAAATTCAATTATTACTTCAAAGATGATCAAAAATATTAGCATGCATCAATATCAAAATAAATAGCATATATTTTTCCTCAATTTTCTTAACGTCACAATAATGCATCTAATACACTTCATGTTACTAAAAACTTTAAGGTCCAGTAATACGTAGTAGCAAGTTTTGCTATGTGGCTTCTTTACTATTTATTTTTTTCTTTTTGTACAAATCCCTTATTATTTCTTTACTTATTTAATACTTTAATTATCTTTTAATTTCTTTTCTTCCATTCAACTGTAGCCCCTACCAAATTAGCTAGATATATTCCTTCCTATACTCATGAGCTTTTTAAACATTTGAATGTTGTTGTAAGCGACTGTGTGTATGTGTGTGGCTATAGTCTATTGCGGTATGTCACAAAGGGAATCATTTTGTTTTATCAATTTTCTGAAAATCCTAAGATTTCATTGTCAAATGTTTCTATTTAAAATGATACACAAATTTGATAATCTATAAAGTGTCTCATATTGCATAAAAAAGATATTAAATATCTTTTGATAATTTGTTTCTCAACTTCTTGACTTCTCTTATAGTAACTAGCAAGAGATCAATAAATACATCCTCTAGGATTACAGATTGTTATTTCTTAAAAAAGAGATAATGTAATATATAAAATTAGAAGTATACATGACCTTTCATAAAACATTTTAATTTATTTTACACAGTTAATCTATGATTGAAATAGAACTCTTTGATATTTATATTTACTTAAAATAGTAGATTTTATATGTATGTATGTATGTGTACATACATACACACTTAGATGTATATATCATACACAGATGCTATTGGTGAGTATCTTGATGTTTAAGTACAAAAACTTAAGACATATTTGGAAATTTTCAGCAAAATATAATTCAAAGTTTAATATTTTAGCTTGATTTTTAAAAATAATACCACTTTCAAGAGTGATATGAGTGTTTCAGAAAGTATATTATGTTTTTATGCATTTTGTGAAAATTTTATGTAATATTAATATCAATCTTCAGTGTTCATGCATTGACATCAACAAAACTATTGTTTTGATTGACAGTATTTACAGTGATTTTGCTGCTCTTGACAAGTTCAGTTATGTAAAAAAATTAGTAAGGAACAATGTATATATGAAGTCAAATATCCTTCGTTCAAACCCTTTATAACTTTAAATCTTTCTTTGACAAACTGCATCATAATATTCAGTTTGTATTTCATAAACATATTAGAACTTTATATTCCTATAATAAATGTGCTAAGTTCAGTCAACATTTGTATATATATATAACACATTTCAATTCATAGTTTTAAGTTTCATAAACTGGGATACAAGTAGAAAAATAATGATAGAGAATACATATTTTGTAGTAGTTGTGTCTGTTGGATTATTTAAAATGAATGGTAGTATTCTAAATCAATATATAAACAGATAATTGATTAAAATCATTTTCTTCTGTGACATAAGGAAATACTTACTATAGAACATGCATTTGGTATGTACTAAAAGCATGACTTATTACTACATTGACTTATATATTATTATTTGAGAGTAAAATAAATTCTGACACACACTCAAAATGACATAAAAATGAATATAAATTTAAATACATGTATAAAACCATAGTAAAAAAATACATGAATGTAAAATAAGCAAAGGCATCCCATTATTTAGAATTCAAATATGACATTAGTGAATTTTAAACCAATTTAGAGTACATAATGGAAATCAAGACACTTCATCACACACACAAGAATATATGCATGTTTTTACATGTGCACATAAAACTTCTTCACATATGTACATATGTGCATATGTATGTATACTTACCTAGGTACATGCATATATAGGAATGACAAAGCATAACAGGAAATGACAAAAAATTTCATCTAATATGAAATTTTAATTAATTAACAAGTAGTTGCTGAGGTACCTAGTTCAGAAAAGTTCAATTTAAAATTTAGTCTTTTAGAAAGAATGCTGTAATGAATTATTAATGTCTGTAATAGACAAAATGAATAAATAAATAATCTTTATCAAAATTCACAATGAAATTACAAACTACAAAATTTCATTATGAACTACAAATTTTCATGGTATAATAATCAATAATCAATAATATGATGTAAATGTGCTTAAACATTCATAAAGCTATTTTTAGATATATGTATAAATGATAGTGAAGTTATACTAGAAAAAAGAGAAAAAAAAAAGAAATTAACCACAGCAATGAACAGTCACAAAATCAGCGCCTAATACCTACAGGAACTCCACCAGGTGGAACCTATATGCAAATTAGACATGAAAAAAATATAAATATAAATAATTACAATTACAACATGATACATAAAATGTACACTAGTAAGAGAGACAAATCAATTTTTCCAATGTCTAAATTCACAACTTTTCTCAAAATACATGTAACATTTTTCTTATTATTGTGACATACATATTATGTAACAATGATATTTATTACAAGTATTTATTTAAAGTACCTAATATCTTTAAGAATATATTGAGTTTATTTCTAAGTAAGATATCTGTGTCTTGAAACAATAATACTTTATGGAAATTAACTTACATAAATGGATGAATGGTAAGTAAACAATTCTCTTTTTACCAGTCAAATGGATGATCTCTACACTATTATTTTCTAAATGGAATTCAATAATCAGTTTTTAGTTGTTCTGACATTATAAACATGGCAGTCTCAGATCTCCTTTTTACACACCTTGTACATTACCTAGTACTAGTTTGAAACTATAATGTGGTAAGAGTCCTTTAAAAATCATAAATATGAATGATTCATAAATATTATGCATACAAATATAAATCTGTATATGTCTATGTGCATTTATACAAAAAAAAAAAAACCACTGGCATAAGTGTTTTTTTTTTTTTTCTGTACTTTGCTTTTTTCGTTTTACTATGACTCTTAGGATTCTTTCAAAGTCAAAATCTCCACTGTGAAGAAAATCATAACTCTTCAATCCCTAACAACATTTCTTAAACTTTTGTGCTCATTTTCTAATTAATGGAAGAAAGAAGTCCAACTTGATTTTTGGACCTATTAATTCAAATTTGTCACTCCTTAGTATCTGCCCTGTTAGAGCTATTCTTAAAACAATTCATGGGAGCCTAGCCCTGCAGTGACCAATTCTATTTTTACATTTGAGCTTAATTTACAATTTTATTGGTGATACTGGCCTAAGGTGACATGTCTCTTTCTTCTTAAACAGTTTGTCCCTATGCTGATTATTTTCACTAATTCTGGCTTTCATTAGTGTCAAGATTTCACCATGAAGCAATTTTTTTTTATTGTAAAGAAAAACCACCTTGAAATATTCTTGTTAATGCAGATTTTTAAAGATCCTAGCAATGAACTAATGTATGTCACAAAAATAATGAATGTTTGGTCAGCAAAAAGAGATGATTCAGAAGAACGTAAATTCATCTTCAAACACATTAGTGACTATTTCACAGATTTATTCTATGCTCTGGTAAATTGAAATTTTAAGAAAATATGTGAGTTCCAAGTAGATTGGTTTCATAGCAATATGAGGAAGAACCATCTCAGAATTGAATTGGCCAACCATGGAATGGGCTATATTCTAAATTATGGAATTAATTAACTTAATATCATTATAATTTTTGAATCATATATTAGATATTATCATTTATTCAGTCATGTCTGAATTTATCATTAAATTGAAGAACTATTAAAATCTATCAAGTGCTGAAAACTATGGTAGTGTTCAGGATACATATGTTATTAACATATAGGACATTTTCCCAAGAAATTTAAACTCCATGAGGGAGAAAGACCCACATTACAAAGTTGGATGAGTCATAGAGACATGCACTGTGAGGGTGTTTGCAATGCAAATTGGGCAATGAATGCCCTGAAAGATTTCTGTGTAAGGAAATGTCTAAGCTGAATTATAAAATCATACATTAAATATAAGCTATCCATGCTGCTCTGGATAAAAGAAGATGAAAGTTTTCAAAACATAAAAATATGTAAAAAAAATAGGTAAAACATAGCTTGGTGAATGCAGGGAACTACAAGTAATTGATAAGTGTAGTGAGTAAAGCAGAAGTATCAGAAATTGAGGATGAAGAAACGTTCAGGATAGCAAATATAGAATGTACCTGAACTCGAAGCTTTTCCTATAAGGAAATATGTGTCATGAAGGTGTATTTGAGGAAAACTCTGGTATAGATTTTCTATCAAGTCCACACATAATATGACTCTCACTAAGGGAATAAAGTACTCTGATTTGTACAACCTGGACCACTTTCCACTCATGCAGATAGGGTCAGTTCCACAAAGCCAGAAGACAAGGATGGAAGAGTGGTCATGTCTATAGCCACTGCCAGACTTGAGTCGATCCATTGCCCCCAATGTGTTTTCTTTAAGAGAGTACCAACATATGGCATAAACTCCCCCTAATCACACTCTTGGGCCACTGTCATGATTTTCATTTTCACTGGGTAACACCATTATTTTTTTCCCTATCAGTAATTATGTAAAACAGTTTTTAATTTATATTAATACAAAAGATTGCCCCGGTGACTTAGCAAACCCCAAGTGAAACATTCCTGTTCTATTATATACTGAATTGCTGCAAACTGAAAAAGAACAGTTACTGAATTCAAACACATTTTTAAAAAACATCTTTAGTATGGAATTAAATCATTATAATGATTTTGTATATCCTGTATTCTATAGTTTATGTAGCCATATCTTTGTAACATTTTTATTAAAACAACATAAATATAAGAATAAGTATTAACAAAACAAAAGGAAAAAAATGCATATTTCACTTACATCTTCTATGTCTTTGTCCAGAGCTACAATTCTTAGAGGAGTGGTTAAATCTATATTGTCAGAAATGGTTGCTCCCACTGGGGCAGATTCAAGGATGTAGCCTTGATAGCTTGGCATTGTGAAATAGGGGCTCTGGTTGTTCTCGTCCAGTATTTCAATGTGTAAACTGGCAAAGGCAGGGAGGGGATGGCCATTGTCTTGCTCAGCCTTAAATAAAAACCAAAACATTTAAAAAATTGTGTTAGGATACCCTTCTTGTGTGACACTTTTCTTGCTGTATATATGGATTTTTTTAAACTAGTACCATTACAAAAAAAAAAAAAAAAAAAGAAATACATTAAAGATCCATTAAAAAACATAAATCAGGAAACAGAAGTACCAGGCTTATTGTTTGAGCCTCTATTTTCAATCCAGAATATATATATTTTTAAAAAATACTGCAATTAATTATTATAACATAAAGAATGATGACTGTTTAAACATAGGTTCACAGAACATAAGAAGTAAGGCATTTCAGTGCCTTGCTGATGAAATATTTAAATAAAAGGGAAAAAAAAGGACTATAACCTTAACAAAATACCACACCTATTTTTGTCTTTTCCAAGTCTTCTTGTTTCACACTGTAGTCATAATGTTTCTGTAACCTCAAAATTCAGCTGTTGAAACCCTAACACCCAAGGTAAAAACATCAAGAGTTGGAGGTTTTAGGAAGTGATAATAGCAGAATCTTCATTAATGAAATTGTTGCCCTCAATAAAGAGGTGCCAGAAAACTCCTCTTTTCTCCTTCTACCATGTGAGACACAGCAACAATGCCCTTTGTGTGAAGAATGGGCAGTCACCAAACATCAAATCTGCCAGTGCCTTGATCCAGAACTGTGAGAAATAACTGTCCATCATTTACAAGCCTCATAGTTTATATAATTTTGTTATACCAGCCGCAACAGACTAAGATGCGCCTCAATTTATAATTTTATGTAAAATTAATAGATTAAAGATATATTTATTACCAATTGAAAGTTCTTAAAAGTATCCTATAAAGAGATAATTTCATCATAATATTTTAATAGCTATAAAATTTCAAATATTATTACAAGAATTATGTCATTCAATTATACCTGAGAAAATTATATTAATTTGTATGTATAAGTTTGCTTTCTTTTTAAATTTAAGAAATTTACAAAAATTTCACTTCTAATAATTTTTCTTAGGAAGTCTGTATATGACCATTCTTTGAATGAGGAAGCATCAAACCTAGACTCTGCTTTTCTGAAAAGGTGTGTTTTACTACATAGGAATCTAAAGATTTAGTATAAGAGAAGATTTTATCACCACTGGTTTCTAAAAAAAATCTCCTTTAATGGTTAGGAGAAAATAGCACTACAATTTAATAGTATATAGATTTATTGAAATGCATTCAACCTTTCTGTCATTAATTTATATCAATATGTTTTTTTTTTCCCACTTCTAAAATAGTCCATTTGAAATAAGCACAAAGTTAAGGTCAATTTTTCTAATATTAAACACTAGAGTTTTTCTAGGTAAAAAATGACTTCCATAATTCATTTTTATATAGAGAAACTCTAGTGTTTATAAGTAGTTCAGACCAATAGTTTTACTTATTTTTTTAATCCAGAGGAAAGAACTGAGAATATTTTTTACTTTTTTCTAATTGTGATTTAATATTTTCAACAATTAAGAAAATGGATAGCAAACCATAGTGTTGTTTGGTAAAACTGGTGACTTTGGAGCAATAAAAGTCACAATACATTTCACTTCTTATGATTATTCATACTTAATATATGTTAAAATATTGGATAGTAATTATTACTTTAAAAATAGGAATGAAATAGGAATTAGATTGTTCTAAAGAATCTGAGTTTTATTTTTCCTTTCATGTAATCACTATAGTGAAATACTATGACATAATGCATCGACAAAATTTACATGTACATTTAAGTATTCTTATATTTCTGTTTTGATGTTGAATATTACATAGTTTGTATATTTAAATTAGTTTCTGGAAGAATGGCAAGGTCTTTCATGGAACCAAAAGTTTATGAGCTCCTGCTGAACCTTAAGAATAGTAATAGAAAAATGTGTGGCTTTCTCTGAAATTTTCACACATGATCATGTGTGCTACCAATACATCATTTTGCAGAGGACCTTTTTGCATCCAGCAGTTGTGATTAATATGTGTTGAATCATAGATATTCCTCTAGGAACTTCCTCTGCAACATCAGAAATTTTCAGACAGCTGAGCAGGACAAGAAATACAGTTTGGGACAAGAAACTATGTTTTTTTTTTTTTTTTTTTTGGATGAAGTAAAAATAATTTTTCCAATGTGCAGTTCCAACTTGCACTGCTGAAAGCTGAACACTTTGCCTGATTCTTACAGATTTTTAGCAGCTCACACATGAAAGTCATTATGAATAGTGGGTTTTTTTCTGTCTCTATTTCATGTGTAATTATTTTAATAGCCATCATGTCATGTCCAGGATATTCTTACCATGATATAAAAAGTCACAAATTTCATATTTGTCTGCTTACCCCAAAAAAGGAACACAAATCAAGTTATAGTGGGTAAGGAGGAAAAAAGCCACAATTGTATAATAACAAAAGGAGCTTATATTATACATTCAGATAATATGCCATTAATTTTTACTGCCAGCTGTGAAGCCAAGAAAAACATACTGTTCTCATGATGAAAACAAAGTGATTCAATGAAAGCAAAAAATAAAACTCAAATTAGATTATTTAGAACAATCTAATTCCTATTTCCTCCATCTTTTAAAAAATATCATATAATAGTCCAGCTTTTATTACCCTAAAAATAGCTCATTGCAATAATGCCTAATAGTTTTTAATTCTTACTCCATGTTTTTGGTTTATTTGAAGTGTTCCAGAGTGACAACTAGATATCCCTCTCCAAATACTATGTTCTTTGTTTTAAATTGGTTTTCCTTAGTGTATTGTAGTTAGACATACTAGTGTGGTTCGTCTTGTATTATTAATACATAGATAACACATTTTGCTCCATTTGGAACACCAGTATTTGCCATTTTATTCCTCTTCTTCCTCACCAGTTTCTCTCCCTAATTGTTCTTTCTTCTATTTATTTATTACTCTTTAATTGGTATACTGTAATTATACATGAATGTGGAGTTCATTGTACACTCATATGCACAGAACAGTATGGTCAATTTCTTTCCACATTTCATCCCTTTCCCATCCCTCCTCCCTCACCCTTCATTCCTTTCCTCTACTCCACATTATTCCCTCTACTTTCATGGGATTCCCTCTTGTCATCCATCCCTCTTATTTTTTATTCTTTATTTCTCTCTAGTTTCCACATATGATAGAAAACAAAGCCCACATTCTTAATCTCTATTGCGTTTTGTCTTTCTAGAGGTAAAACACATACTTCTGTACTGGTACAACACTAGAAAGATTAGCTTTATGTTCTATGCTGGGCAGCATGTAAGAAACACAAAGACCTTGGGCTGAGGTCCAGGTCTCATGAGGTATAAGTGACTACAGAGGAAAATTAACTACAAGTTTCTCATACATATAAAATGCAAATGAATATCCAAAAGTAAGATTAATGGGAAAAATTAGTGTCAGAAATAAGAGTAACATAAATACCTCTACTTGAAATAGAAGTAAAATGTAGAACTTAAAACAAATTAATACTATTTTACTTACATTCTTGAGTGGGCCCTTCTATCAAAATTCTTATCTCCCCTTTTCTTCTGAATTAGGAAAGTTCTAAATATCTCACTTATTCTGTTCCATTGCAATCATTAGTGAATGACAGGAGGAGTATATAAAATAAGGACAAGTGAAACAAAGTGGTATTTTAAAAATTTAAGCTAATAATTTATTTCTCAAAGTCTATGATTTCCATTTGAACATTATATTTAAAAAACAGAATCGTTTTTATTATTATTTTGGAGAAATTCTAGGCATGAATCCCACTTTTAGTAATGGGACCAAAATAAAACTAAAGCCAAAACTGCAGACATATAACAAGAACATTATTTACGTATCTTGGAGAGCAAAACATTGAAAGAGACAATTCCATTTTTAGTATTAAAACAAGTAAGTGTTGAAAATTTCTGAGTTCCTTGCAGCAGATAACTGAGATTACAGAATAACTATTTTCTGGCTGGTTAGTGGAAAGCAATTTAACAAATTCTATGATATGAAATATGAAATGTTTTGACTAGATACAATAATTTTTAAAGAGAAAATGGGAAGACTATTAAGACAAGTAAGTAAATTCTAGAAAAGACACAATAAATCCGTTTTTCTTATGAAGTCAGGAATTATTCATTTTCTACTTAAAGAATTGACTTTTGGGGCTGGGGATGTGGCTCAAGCAGTAGCGCACTTGCCTGGCATGTGCAGGGCGCTGGGTTTGATCCTCAGCACCACATACAAATAAAATAAAGATGTTGTGTCCGCCGAAAACTGAAAAATAAATATTAAAAAATTCTCTCTCTCTTCTCTCTCTCTCTCTCTGTCTCTCTCTTTTTAAAAAAAAGAATTGACTTTTAAGGTGTTCACCTTTGTTTACACTTAATTTTTTTCCATTTAATCATAAGCTTTAAGAATGTTAGTATTATGTTATCTCCTAACTTACATATCTAGCTTGGACCTTTCCTCTGAGTTATAGTCTATATCCAGCTGTATACTTAATAAATCAGATTGGATATCTAATAAACAATTTGTAAGCACTCCAAAAATTAAGTTTAGATTTCCCTTCACAAACCTGACCCAACCCATCTTTTCCATTTTCATGGTAGTTACATACATTGACTCAGGCCACAAACTGTAGAGTCATCTTTACTCCTTGCTTCTTTTCACACCACACATCTAATTTATGAGGAAACTATTGATTATAAGATATCGACAGGATCTAAGTACTTCTCTCATCCTCCTAATACCACCTTCATCCAACCTACTATTAGATTATTATATTTTCTCAGTCAGGTACTATCCTTGATCACTGTTCATTCTTACATTGCAGCCCAATGAGTTTGTTAAATAATAGCCAGATAATGTCACTTCTTTCCCTAATACCCACAACTGATTTCCAAACTTCCCAGGCCCTACAAGATCTGGCTCAGATTGATTTTATTATATTCATTTTCTTCTCTCTTAATGTACTCTGACTATATTGTCTTGGTGCTGCTCTACTGAAC